ACATTATTTATTATTCGTTGAGAACTTATTAAATCCAAGACGAGAGACTAAAGAGAGATCCTTAAGCCTTGGGGAGATTTGAACACAAGAATCATTAACTTATACTCAACTAATCAATGAACTTATTATTGTTATCATAACAAAGGCATTTGATAAATATACACCCGCTTGACTTAACCAAACAAATTAGAAATGTCCTAATCCTCCTCTTAGGTGAAACCCCATTCTGATATTACACTTTCTTTTCTTCCTCTAGATCTCATTTCATGAATCGCTATTGCTGTAATAATCTGATTCTCTGTCGCAATGGTTTGTTGCTGCATTATACTAGCCGGTACACCAACGTCTTCAGAGCTCTCACTCATTTCAGACTCATCTTCTCTATCAACCCTCTCAATCCCGACAACTTCGTCTTCCTCATATCCTCCTCCACTGCTTCATTTGGGTTACTATTCCAATATAATCCCTACTTGTTTCTCTGACTTTAAATCACAAACTGAACATCAACATCGTCATCTGATTCAACTTCTACTACACTGTGGTCACTTTCATCATCCACTTGCATGGGCGTCATCCTCGTACATCTCTCTAGGAGTTTCACCTGCCCAATCTTCATCAATGTCTCTGAACGCTTACTCTTCTGACGCAACGGAGGACTCGACTGGAGGCGGAGACGTAGTCAGTTGTGTGCTATACGTCAGATGTATTGATCGCAGTGTGACAAATTCTCAGTTCTACGACCATTTCGCCAATTGTTCCAATGTCGTATCAGCTGTTGTTTTCCGTGATGCTGACACCAACACTTCTCTTGGTCTCGGCTACCTTATCTACAGCAAAAGAGAAGAAGGTTTGGCTCCCTATGTACGTGGTTATATCATGTTACTTTGTTTTAGGTCTCTTTTGCATTTTTTTTCTTCGAAGAATGTCAGCTGAAAAGGCATTTAATAAGCCGAAACACAAGTCTCAGTGGGGAGAGGATATTTATTCATTTAAATTCCAAAGCATCCAAGCATTTAAATTCACAAGTCTCAATGATGTTATCGAGATGATCTTTATGCTGCCATGAAAGATTCCGTAAATGCCAGTGCATACGGAGTTCCTTTTCCTCGTGATGATGGTAAGCGGGAAGTTCTTGATCATGATGCTTGTATTGCCCATGAGGACGAGACTATAGAGTATGATCTTGAGAATAAGACTATGTAGTCTCTTGTCGATGAGACTATTTGGAGGATTTGGTTGTTCCTGTTTTTCGGCTGCTCATGGTAATCCTAAAGATGATGATTTTTGTTAGGAATAATAAGTTGATTAAGGCTAGACAATGTTTGTTGAATACGTTCATATATATATCTTAGGGACAGTTGAATGAGTCTTAGTTGGTGGTTTAGTTTTAGAGTCGTTCCACTTTATTTGGAAGTTGTACAACCTATCTTACTTCATAATCCAGAGAATCTTCCAATCTCATTTTGGAGTCGATCCAAATTTGCTCATTAACTTCAATATGGACAACCCACCAATTGGACATGAAATTCTTCTGTAAATTAGTCACAGCGGTTTCAATAAGTTATCAGAATTTAGTGATGACTAATGTATAATAGGTCCATGTTTTAGTTTGATTTTTTCACCATAGGTTAATTAGCGGATAAAAGTATATGTATTAAAAATAAAATAAATAATAATTATTTTAATATAGGCACACAAAACACAACTAAATTATTTAGATAAGATTTAAAATAACGTTTAAGTTAATAATGAGATAATTTAGTTGTTATAGTATGGAAAACTATATATATTTTAGCATGCATTCAATAGAATATAGCCTCTATAAATTGATATTTAATACATTTAATAACTTGATAAATTAATTTCTTGGTTATAAATTGATTTTATGATTAATTTAATATTTTAAAAATTAATATTATAATTAAAATTTTGAGATATCTAGATTGTTAATTTAAAGAAAACGCATTGTATGTAGTAAAAAGGAAAGAAGGGTTGATTGCTCCAGGTCCTACACGGCTCGACTACTCCCACCGCACGATGTCCTGTGTCTGTCTGTCCCATTCCGTTTGTCACCCCCCCCCCCCCAATCAATAATATCCCCAACATTTTTGAGACTTAATTGATTAATTGCATTAACCTTGTTTTTTCTTTTCTATAGTATTTTCTTTTGATATTTTTCGCACCTAATTGTTTCATATTTTATTGCATATCTTCTTGGTATTCTTTTCTATTTTAAATTCAAAGGTTAAAGGATATGGGCACTTTATTCTTCTCAATCTCACATACTCATCTCCACAAATCAGTCAATGTTGCTTGAAATTATTTAATAACTTTTATCTCTTTCCCCCACTTTTCGTAGACAATTTATTTGTTTATACAAATTCCTTGGGTTTCTTATACAAATTGAATTATGATTTAAAAGTTGCATTCCTAGAATTGTATCATGTGTCGTGGAAAGATAGAAATGAAATATGTAGAGCCCCGACATTTAGTCACACACAATTGTCAATAGAGACTAGAGAGGACAGTGGCTTAGGGTCGCATGATGGAGGTGTGTCTTGTTGGTGTAATCCATAGTGATCAGTGGGATGCCCCAATCCCACTCACTCAGGCACTCTCTCTCAATCCTCGCATTCCTCAAATTCCTCCCTCTTTGATTTTTTTTTTTAATTCTTTCTTTCCCTTTGATAAAGGGAAATCGCCACAAAATAAGCAAAGTTTTGTTTAATATATACAAAGAGTATTTTCAAGGTTATACAATATAGTTAAGTAAATTTATGTGTAAACCCCAATGTTTAGAAACCTTGACCACTTCTTGTACCAATTTATGTGTAAATTTATGTGTAAATTTATGTGACCACTTCTTGTACTAATTTTCATTTTTACACACAGTAAAAATATTGGAGGCAGTAAAAAATTGGACCACTGGAATATGAATTCGGAGCTAGATCTAGTTTTATTCGATTTCCGGTTTATAAAAATTGGTTACCATATTAGTACTATATATATTTAGATTGGTTCAATTAAATATCTTTGGTTGTGATTTATTCAATTTTAAATCAAAACTATAATTATATTTGTTTTAAATAAAAATATGATTTATATTTTACATATATTTAAAGATTGAATTTATTAAAATATAAAGATGATATTTTCTTGTTTTCATTTCTAAAATGATAATTTATATCATTTAATAGATATTAATAAAAAAATTAAATAATAAGATTTTGATATTTTAATACTATCAGATAAATAAGATTAACCATAATAACTAAATTTTCAAGACGCATAAAAACTAAAAAATTATATAAAATCTAGAAAAAAGAAGTTTAAACAAAATAATATTAGTAAAATGCAATTCCAAAATCAAGATTCTATTAATAAAATAACTTATATAAATTAGTGATTATATTAAATCATTTACATTTATAAATTATTGTGAAATCAATTGGTTTTAATTTATTTATTTGATTTAATGAGTTAATAACTTAACCGTATCCATATATTGCATCTATATTGTTTCTTTGATATGACCAAATCCAAATAATATTCTCTGTTTTGGTTAGGTTTTAGTTGGTTGAGTTCAAAATTACCAAATTAAACATGCTAGTCTAAAACCACGATGTTTTCTATATATAAAAACGATAATAAGAAATTTCAAAGTTCTAATAAAGTATATTTTTGTTTAGTTAGCATAGATTTATTTTCTAAAATTCAATGAAAATATCTTTAGATTCGCAAATTACACTTGCCTTTGATCGATAGAAATTGCATAATCAAAAGATTGGAATATTTTTTTTTCTTTACCATCTATGAATATCAAATTCATATAGTATCTTCAGATCTAATTCTAATCATGTAAAACCTAATCGGACCAAGCCATTTTTGTTTTCTCAAAGTAGAAAGCAAGTATGATTATGACTAATAATAAAATTACTGATGTATTACAAATCAGCTCTATATAAAGGTGGTTTTGTGTGACCATCGCATATAATAATCATTTATGATTTTGTGTTTGCTTGAAGATTGGTAAAGTCTTGAGACCTTTAAAGACATAACTGTAACTTAAAGTGATTTTACGTAAAAAGCATCTCGAGGTTATCTAATAATCAACATGACACTATTATGTCGAATTTTAGAAGGCTGAATTAGTGAGAAAAATGTTTATAATTAAACAACACCAAAATATCAAGGTTTTCAATGTTTATTCTAAATTCTGACAAAAAATGTATTCTTTTATCGTTTAGGACTATAATTAATTTATAATAATTTAGTCAGATTAAGTTTAAATCTTATGCCAGTAAATTTGCTATTATAATGAATGTAAGATGTTTACATAATTATAAAATCTCGAGTCTGATGAATCATAATCGTCTTATGATGTATGATTCATCATATAAATGGTTGTAGTTGACTCATTAAATTTTGGATTATATTTTCGTGTTAGATGTATGACACTGTAAAAAATTCAATTATGAACATTGACTCATCTCCTTTATATGTCGATGCGAATCTCAGTTTATATGTGAGCTCTAGCAAATGACATTAGAGATGAAAGGAAAACGGAAACAAAAATGATAAAAGAGAGATTTTTAAACAAATGTTATAACTAGTAACATTTCCACAGTTGGACTAAAACAAAATAAAATTTACATTTTTTTATTATGTAACTTTCAACTAATGCTACCAATCAAAACTAACATGTGAAGACTTGGATTTTGGAGTGTTCCCAAAAAAAAAAACGACTTGGATTTTGGTTATAACCCCTCAGCTACTAAGAAACAATGACATGGTGATATGGATAGTTAGATAGATCAGGAAAACATAAAAGACAAGAGATCCATTGATTCGAGTCAAGCCTCTCTATCTACTCATAGTTCTAACTGTGTTTTCATCTCAACGAATTTAGTCGATAGTAGCTTTCTGATCTAAGTTAAAAGAAAAGAGTGGTTAATTACCTTTTTCTTACAAAATTAATCTTATAGGCAAAAAACCTGAGCTACCTCTTTGAAAAATCATCTCATCCTGCTGGACCCACAATCAACCATTATCACCTATCCAGTCCCCATTTGCACCTAACGATTTCAAATTAAAAAAAAAAAACATACAAAAAGTCCATAATTTCTAAAGAAAAAAAAACACCAAAGAGCTTCTTTCTATATAAGCACACTAGCTCTCAACAAATCCACATTGTGTGTCTTCTCTTCTCCATATCACACTACACAACACATCATGGCTTTCTCCACTAGAAGCTCCATCTTCTTCTTCTTCACAACACTTGTTCTTCTCTCCACTCAAATCAATGCAAGAGACAGCTACTTCTTTGGCAAATTCCACCGAGAAACCACCAAAGACCAAAACCCTAACAATGTCCTCCCTCTTGAGACCAGTGAGAAAACCACAGTAGAAGAATCCTTCCCTAACAAGAAAGAACAAGAACAAGATCCAACCTTCCTCCCACAGTCAGAAAATGGTTATGGCTTGTATGGTCATGAGACCACCTACAACAACAACAAAGAAGAGTTCAACAACAACAACAAGTACGATGAAAAATTCAACGGCGAGACTTTCTCCACTCCAACCTTGAGCGAGACCGAAGAGTCTTACAACAACTACGACGAAAAGTACCCGAAGAAGACGGAGAGTTATGACAACAACGAAGAGTTCAACAACAACAAGTACGATGAAAACGTTAAGGAGAAGTCATTCTCCAAGAACAATGAAGACAAGAGAAGCTTCTACAACTCCAATGCTTACGAGACGGAATTAGAACTTGAAACCCCATACAAAGGTTACAGCCACAATTTGGAGAGACAAGGCATGAGTGACACAAGATTCATGGAGAAAGGTAACTATTACTACGACCTTTACAACGACAGAAACCATGGCCATTTCTACCGTAAACCTCATCAGAAAAGCCCTGCCGGTTATTATTCTTCTCCCACGACTGAGAATAGGTATTACCAGTCGTATTCCTATGGAAACAACAACTACAACAGCGAGGAGGAGAAGAGGTTCAAGGATCAGTACAATTCTAAGTGGGAGAAGAACATGATGAACGAACAGCAAGAGGAGTTTGCTGAGGAGCAAGGAGATCAGTTCAAGCCTTGATGAATATTTGTTATTTGATTTCCTCTCGAGATCACTACACTCTTATTAGTAATTTTCGTTTGTTTCAACTAAGTTATTTTACTTATGGTTGATTAGTCAAAGTAAATCTTTGTTATAATTACCATAAATCAAAAGTGAAAAATAAGAGAAATGGTTTTTTTTTGTGTGATTTTTGAAATGGGTTTGTAAACTTTGATGTTTGCGTTTGCAAATAATATCCAGAGTGGTATATGGTGCTAATTCGTGTTACTTATTTTGTTAATATCAGGGACCCTTTAACTAATCACTTTTCTGATTTTTGTTAAAAAAAAATTTAGCTAAAGGAAGAGACATGATTGAAATGGGACCAAACGTGACTGCTTTTAATGATTTATAATGGGGGAACAAGAAGATGACCATTCCCTCTTGCGTAAGTGCAAAAGAGACACTAATAATTACTCGCACACCAAATCCACCGTTTTAAGTTTTATGGATCTAGAAAACATATACCGGAAAAAAAATCTAAGTATTGTATATGCCAGAAAAACCGATTGTTCATGATTGTTAGCTGAGAACATCAACAGTTCACCAAAACTTGTTTTAGTTACTGGTTCTAAGGGGTGTAATCATCGCAAACCATGTTTATGTTAGGTCCTTTTAAAACAGAATTCAGCTTTCATTGGATACTTCAGTATAGACTAAAATAAGTAGTTCTTAATTCTTCTATCAAACCCATGAATTTTATAGTATACAGCTAACAAACAATCAAACACACAGAAAATCACCAAATTTGTTTTTTGTATGTAAGGTGTCATTAATCGTGTTGTGGTCTTCTATAGGATTTGTGGTCTTCGAAGCATATATGTATAAGTGAAAGTTTTTGTTACCAATGATGAATTTGTCTACTCGCTAAATCTCGTGGTTATCAAAACATAAAAAAATTTGGAAGATGTTTGATTTATGTTAAAAATTATTATTCTTAAGAAAAATATAGTTTCTCAATTTAAGAAAATGTATGGGTCCAAATGTCCTAAACTTATTAGTCACAAAAAAAATATTTTTGTTCATATAATCAAAATTATTATTAATCTTAAATATACAATACGATTTAGGTTTGGTACATAGTACAAAAGACAAAGGACACTTCAAAGTTCAAAGGCACTTGCACTGAACCGAGAATCAAAGACAAGGAAAAGAAGACTCCCAGCTCCGTTAATCACGGCTAACATAAAGGACAAAAAGTTAGTTCCCTCTTTTCTTTTTTTCTGGATTTTTTTATTTACTCTAAACTTTATGAATATATTAGTTGATCTGTTTGCCACCATGTCCAGATAAATATGTATGTTGGTTTATAAAATCAGATACTATTTTATAACACATGGTAAATTGTATTTTTCTTTTAATCATATGTGATATGTGTTTATTACTAAAATAACATTTTAATTTACTTAGTTGCAGATGAGCTGAGGGGAGTGCTGGATTGGAATGGCAGTCTTGACTCTTGAGGCTCAAATCTCTGTTTTTAGTCGATATTAAAATAATATGATGCTCATGCAGATGGTGTGTTGTTTTCTTACGTTTAAAGTATTGTAAAGCATATATCGAACAAAGAAACGTTTTTGCATGCATATTGTAGCTATTTTTACGTTAGGATTTGTTGCTGTTTTGGCTGTGGTAAAATTAACAATACCGGGTGAAAATTACTGAATTCGATATTAGCATAAGATTTTCTACAAGAAAATGATATTAGCATAAGACAAAACAATTTATTAGAAATTTAGGAAAAAGGTTGATCTCCAATGGAGGGTCACAGTATGAATAAAAATTTACCATTTATGACTTGTATAGTTCTAGTAACATATTGATTCCATAAAAAAGTTACTTATTATAAGTCGTTTATTTGTTTTGTTTTCCTTATATATGATTTTAAGTCGAAAATGCTTTTATAAGTGGTATAATCAAAAACAAATTACACATATTTCGCAATTTGTATATCTCACAATGTTTTGAAAACCGGACTGATTATACAATCATATATTTACATTATATAGACATAATAAGTATTTCTACATTCTATGTTCTTTTTGTTAACTAGAAAATAAACAATAAACATAAATCTAACTCTGTATAAATATAGTAAATAAGTGAATACTATAGATTGAAACTTCAAAAAAATACCGTTCATATTACCGTATTTATTTATTTATTCTTACAACTAAAATCCTAAATTTTATAAATATGGCAAATAAGAATAGTATATGGGAGCTAAAGATATTTTTCACATTCTTAGGAAATAAAATTAAATAGAAAACTAATTAAATAATAATAACAAAACATTAATTAAGAAATATTAGACATTAACAACAATTAAAAATACATTAATGATATGTTGATCTTTTAGAAACTGGTATTAAAATTGATTCGGAACACTGATTTTACCAATTTTTAGTCATTTTTGTACCGTTCTTTTTCAAATTTTGGTTTCAAACCAAACTGGATTGGGCTTTTTTCACTAGTCATGGTCGGATCTTCCGAGACCGGCCGATCCGGTCCGGTTTTCAAAACCGCCTACAGAGTATACTGTAAATTTGGGAATTGACGCGTGTTGATTATCTGGAAGCTTCCTGTAGACCCCTAGCAAAAGCCCTAGAGAGCGCCTAAACTATCTCTAAGGAAGAAGGCCAAAAAAGCTTAACCGAAAGATCCCAAACGCGCAATGTCTACCGCTCCTCTGCAAGCCGAGAATCTGCCATGGTGTCAACCCTTAACAATGGTTTCGGTTGCAATTCCAGTACCGGTCGTGGCATATATGAGGCTACAAGCTAATTAAAACAAAAAGGCCCTAAAGAATGGTTTTGGTTGCAGTGGCATGCTACACAAGTGAATCTCTTGGCAGTTTGCCTTCAGAGAGACAATCATACACGTGCACGGAAACAATTTCTAGAAAAGCTTATTCTCTTGATTTTTATTATGAAAGTTTAGATTGTTGTACTCATCAAGGAGAAACCTAATGTGTGTTCTTGGTCTAATTAATTTAGCTTCGTTGTTTGATGAAGAAAAATTATTTTGATGTGCGATTAAAATGAACCCAAATTGCCTAATATGAGTGTCAAGACTCTTCCATCCGTTTGTCTGAACTCATTTATGGTCTAGGATTAAAATTCTTGACTTTTTGGTCATAAAGCGTTTCTTATGATGCTGTGTTAGCTTTTTGCATTGCTCTTTATGCTCCAGCTGGTTTTTGTTACAGAAATGTTTCCTGAGCACAACAACTTTTTTTTTATTGGATCAACCTGAGCACAACTACTAATACTCATCATTTTGAGTAAAGAAATGCTCTTATGAATACTACACATATATACATGGATATAGAGAGACGTGGAACAAAATGTGTATATAACTAATTACTTTGTATATATCTTCTACATAACACGAATGAATACATTTAATATTCATATGACGTATCATATGTATGCATGCCATAGACTATCTTATTTATAGAACACACCCGTAAGTAGCAAAGTTGAAGATCGTATCCATCATAACTTCCAGGTTCATTTTAGCTTCTTATGTCTCTGTTGCCGATCTAAACTGCCATGAGGCACTGGGCCAGCATAAGGAAAACCTCCTCCGTAAACAGGGCTAGGGTTCCAAAACCCGTAATCTCCATATAACTTTGGTAGAAAGCTCTTGGATTCCACCTTATAAGAAGAATATGTATCTTGAGAATTGGAAGTAGAGAAAGAGGGTTTTGCCATTACGGTCGAGATGATGATAATAACGAGGGTAGTTATGAGAAACTTAGACATGCTAGAAACATGAGGAACCATAATCAAGATTCTTAGGATATGCATGTTGTTCCTACCTTTCTGAGCTATTTAAAACCTGATTAGATAGAGGATTACAGCCCATGCCTTGTTTCAATATTTCTTTATTTTGTATAATTATGAAATTAACTTGTTTTATATCAATGGTATCGTGTAATTAAGATAGGGCTTCTGAGGATTCAATAGCTGTTTTGGCTATCACGTCATACGAATGAAAAAGATCATGAGGTTTGCATGTACTTTTGTTGTTTATATTTTGTTTTCATATTTCAATTCATACTATTGAAAACGAAATCACGTTGGTTATTAATTAAACTCTTGTATGGAGTCTTTTGGACTTAAGACATAGCGCAAGCCCAGGAGTTGACAAGGCCCACATTTTCTTTTTTGGGCTTTGTATGTTTGAAAGCGTTATCAATAAAATTTCAACTAAAAAAAAGAGTAATAAAAAGATTTTAACTACATCGACTAACTAATTTAAGGCAACAATGTATATATTAAGGCCCTTAATTTAAGGGGTGTCCTAATCCATTCAAGTGAACATGTGCATGTCTTTAATCTAAGGTGACTGTTATTTATAGAAGCTTCTCTACACGTAATAATGCTTTGATGTCAATCTTCTATAACAGATTAACAGACATGATATTTTAAAAATAAACACAAATTGGACTTATTTTATTAGTACCAGAAATCATAATATTTTTTAACATATGTTTTCATTGATTTTAGATTGCCATATGATACGCGAGGAATAATGAGACTTGGTCGACGAGGGACATGCTTTGAACCAAAATGTTTCCAGTGTTCCCCATCTTGACCATCATGAATATGAATATACAAAGTCTTCTTTGTTATTTTTCGCGGCACGTTCCAATAATTAATTAACCATAACTAATTTTTTTAAGATACTTTTATCACAATTGTGATGTGAGTTCCATTCATGCATCAACCCACAGTTTGTTTTATTCCTATTATTATATTCCAGTGTTCAATTCTCCGTTACACATGTAAACTCATCTAAAAACTATCCTTAAAAGTTCTGACTTTTGATAAAAAAAAAATCTGACTGAAAAAACATGTGACGCGTAAGAAGTAAGTACATGTCCGTTTCTGAATAGTACGTGGCCGAAATGAATAAAAAGAAATCCTGATAGTGATGCGTCACCGCGTATAAGGTGAGTCTTTGGATGAATGACTCACTTCAAAACTTTAATATAATATATACAGGGTTTCAAAATCTATAAAATTTGTTTTGTGAAAAGTGATTTGTTTGCTACAGGTTTCCAAACACAAATACAGTTAACGATTTTGTATATTAAATATATAATTGTATAAGTTGTTCAAAAAAAAAAAATGTATAATTGTATATATACGTCACTCTACATTGCGATCAAAAGAACAAGCAAGTAAAAAATGATCTAACAAAAAACGATAGTTATTTACAAACATAGTATCATACGGAGGAAGTAAAAGTAACTGTCATGAATGGTAGGCTCGATTGAAATTTAGACACTTAATAGTTAAGGACTTGCCAGTAAGGCTTTGAGAGTTTCGCTCGAGCCATACAGTGTAGATTGTAGCTTGAAGGTGGAGTTTAAGAACCTTAGAGCATTTCTAACCCCACTCCATAATTTTACTGCAAAATGGAGTGGGAAATGGAGTAGTGAACAAACAAAAAACTCACTACTTCATTTATAGAGTAATGACTTTTTTGTTTGTTCACTACTCCATTTCTCACTCCATTTTGCAGTAAAATTATGGAGTGGGGTTAGAGATGCTCTTAGAGTTGGGTTTCGGTTATAAGTGATCTGATTACTCTCATCAGTAGTAGAAATATTCTGATCTTGGGTTAGATAGTATGATAATGTTTCCAAAAAATATATATTAATAGTAAGTGCATTTTCATCAGGGTTAATTTGATTACTCAATAAAGTAATATAAGAAAAAAATTTAGTTATCAGCAATGATAAATAAATTCATCTATCAAGATATATACATATATGTATGTTGCTTATATATTGATCAACGCATATTTATGAACCCATTTTTTATCTTGGATAACTTTGATTGTATTAGATATTAGCACGCCCGTCTCAAAAAAAAATTTAGATCCTTGGCAAAATAGTTATACTTTTTTATATATATAATTATGATACTTCAAAATATTGCAAACCTCTAAATTTGTTTTTTTTAAATGACCATTTGAATATTATTTATGCTAAAAAAATTGTGGGCTCTAAATACATGCTCCTCTTGCCACCCCTCAGAGAAACGAGCATGGATATCAGTTTGGTAATTGTATCTGTTCTACAAGAAAAAAAGTAACAAATGATTTATCATGAAAAGGATAAGTAAGTTTTTAGGAAGACTGAGTAGATCTAGTGTATGGTCCATTCGCCTCAAAGTCCAACTGCCATTAAATAATGTGAAATCATGAGCAAACGAATCTGTCAAACTTTGAAAGCAATGTGGGATTTAAATCCATTGCATCTGGGACGGTGGGAAAGCCGGGAAACCGGCAACACAATCCCAAGACTTTCTCTTATTGTTAGTTTTACCCATTTTTAATAAACATTGTTATTATATACTACGATAGCTATATAAAATATGTTTCTCATCAGTGTTTGTTCTCCGACAGTTTTACAGTCCTGTACCTTCGGATTTAACCCGATCTTTATGTTCTCTGGTCTATACAATGTGTCCATTACTTATTTATTTTTCTGTCATAATGTGTCTTCTGAACCAACACATGATCAAGTAATCAAGTTTTAGGACAAAAATAGGTTTGTGCCTTAAGTAGAACTAGCATTTTATCCGTTATAATTGATTCGATTCGTTATTCGTTTCGATTCAATCCGAAAATTCTGAATATCCGTAAACTTTCGAATCAAAGCAAATACTAAAATTCAATATCCGCTAAAATCAAAACAAATCACAAATATTAAAATTTTAGGAAGCGGATATCCGATCCAATCCGTAAATATATAAATATATGTATATCTTGATTATATTTAAAATTTTAAATGTATAAAATTATATAATAATTATTCTAGCACATGATTTTGAAAAATTCTATTCACATTATTACTTATATAAAAGTATTACATAAAAAGAGAGAAAAAAATTATGACAATTATATTTTTTTTCTTAAATTTTGTGTTATTATAATTGTAACTTAAACTTAAAAAATTAAAATATATAAATTCAATAAATCTTTTAATTTTTATTTTATATATCATGCAAAAAAAATATTTTTGCAAAGCAAATTTGTATCAAAATCTTAAGATTATTTGTATTAATCAAAACTGATGAGATATCTGTAAATATTCGTAAATATCCATAAATATCTATTTATTTTTTGGATATCTATTTTTCCGGATATTCGTATATTTTCGAAGCAGAGCAAATACCAAAATTGAATATTTGTAACATTCGAAACAAATCACAAATACTTAAAAAAATCCGGATATCTGATCCGTGTCCACCCCTAGTCTTAAGATATGGTTTAATTATTCTACCATTTATCAGGTGTAAAGGCTGTGTACTCAAGCATCCGTAACCGCATGTGACACCAGTTTAAAGGAAATGTGGACGTTCTTTCAAAGATTTTGATCATAAATACTACTATATCACTATTTTAGATGCAGCTAAAAATACTCAGATACGATAGTCTGATTTTACCTAATTGTATTTTTTGTTTATTGTTATTTTGGTGTCTCCTTTTTCCCAAAAAAAAATAGTACGTATATAAATCTGTTTCATGCGTTTATCGCAAAAAAAAAGCCAATATTATAAATTTATGAAAAATAGTACGTATATAAATCTAAAACTGAAATTAATATGTAGATAAAAGACAAAATCATAAAAACCCACTAAAAATGCAAGGAAAAAAGCATCTACACTCACTTTCCCCGTTCGTGTCGTGGAGACAAAAGCAAGATACCACGTAACTCAGATCCATAATTACGATACTACCACTCAGCCGCCCCTTCAGTCAAAACCGCGGTTCCCTTTTTTGTTCGTCTCTTACATCTCTCTCAATTATTACTATAAATACACTAATCTCTTCTCTTTATTCACAAACTACCACACAACACAACCTCTCGTCTTAACTTAATTGTCCATATGGCGCCGACAGTTAAAACGGCGGTCGTTAAAACAAACGGCTGCGACGGCGGAATCAAAGAAACCCGTTACAGAGGAGTGAGAAAGAGGCCATGGGGTCGTTACGCCGCCGAGATCAGAGATCCGTACAAGAAGACACGTGTCTGGCTCGGAACCTTCGACACTCCAGAAGCAGCCGCTCGTGCCTACGACATATCCGCGCTTCGTTTCCGTGGCGCTAAAGCCAAAACCAACTTCCCTCCTCAACCTTCTGTGGTCGACAACAACGAGAGTCCAACACAAAGCAGCACCGTGGAATCATCTTCGATTCCGGATCTCAATCTCGGCTCAAGATTCCCTTTCCCGAAGCCTGGGATGATCTTGTTCGAGGAAGAGTCGACGAGGAGTGAATCGGACTCGTCGTCTGTGGTGATGGATGTGAGTCCAGAGAGACGGTCGCGACGTGTGTTGTTGGATTTGGATCTTAATCTCCCTCCGAAGCCTGCGGACTAATCTTGTGTAGATGAATTGTAATATGGTCTGAATCGAGAGTAAACTATAGATGAAGCTTTGTCTCTGTTAGGAATTATCGATCGTTTGATTGCTTAACTAAATAACACATAGAATTTGATCACCGAGTTCCCGGCCTCTAGCACGGTACGTCTCGGGTGGGAACCGTCTCCCACAACATCCACTATCAATCAAAGGGGTTTACACAAACGCTTTAAGCGCTCTACACAACAGAGAATTAGAAAGATCAAAGAAACTCTCTCCCGNGTCTAGGGTTTTTTTCTCTGATCTCTCGGATGATTCTTTAAAACTTCAACGTCTTCTTTTATGCCACAAATCTTAGCCGACTCTTGTCTTCATATTTCCTTTTCCCATAATGAGAAACCAAAGCCGACATATGTATGTTGGAGAAAACAAGCCCAACATAAGTCCATGAAGAAGTAGATAAATGAAGCCCATACTTACAATCTCCACCTTGGACTTCATTTGGCCCACGTAATATTTTTTTTTTTTAATTTCTGGCCCAATGCGAGACAGGCCCAGTCATCTTTTTCTTCCTATCTGTCGTGAAAAACTTTCCCAGCGACAATATCGAAGGTGATTACGAGTCCTTCTGACATTTTTTTTCAGGCAAGCTTCTGTCGCCAACTCCACCTCGAAAAATATCCAGAGATCCGACTTGCTGAACCTCAGTCTCTAAAGCTTCTTCTTGATCACGATTTTGAAACCAATTAATTCTGACCAAAATTTTCAGTAAATTCCGGCCATTGATCCCGTCTCGGACCTCAAGAGCTAGCGACTTCTTCCAAGTTTCCATTAATTGTTGTCGACCTCCAACGAATCCAACAGTTCCGTCACTACTCGTAATTCTGGTCAAAACCTGCAACTCTGATATGCTCCGGTGACCATTCCGCTATTCACCTCCAGCTTTGGTTAGTTCAGCTTGAGCGAGATTTGCGACTCATGCCTCCATCCCGAAAGCTTTCCCTTCTGATTTCGTTTCAGATATAATTCCCGACATGTTACTGGAACTCCATTAAACCTATGTAGTCATCGACGGTTCTTTTCGGCGACCTTCAACTCGAGTCCGTATCTTCTGGCATCCTCCTCCGATGACTGACCCTTTGATCATTCCCTTGATAGTGAACATAACCTGATGCAACTTTCTATGATCAGAATTTTCAGCTCATGCGATTCCTCTGTCGCAAATACCTTTTGTAATCTTAGGTATTCTCAACTCATCTTCACCTCTTTACTTTGACGAGTCGACCTTGTCCCTTTCTGAGATTTCAACTTTAGAAATTATTAAAATTTCCACCTTTCTTCTGCAGCTTTCCAAATGAACATCCCGTGTTCTTCTACTTCCTAGCTGCTCAGACGATCCCCTTCGTCTTCTCCACTGCTCCAGTATATATAAGTCACACATCTCCATTCAGCTTGACGAACCTGCTTTTCCAGCGGTTTACCACCATTGCATCTCTGATCCGAGATTGCAACTCAGACAATTACTTTGCCATTGACCTGAAATCAAGTTACTCCACCTTGAACTCTGATTCTTCCTTCGATTACACCACCATCACTGCTTCTGTTTTATTCTTGAACTCAAAAAACTCAGAGAGATTCATGACTCTCTCTCAAGTTTCCATTTTCTCTCGAGCTATCACCATTGATAGGAACTCTCGATTTCACTCCATCGATGATCCTGTGATATCATTGCTCAAAGAGCCTCCAGCCTCTGACTCATCTCTCTTGATAAGTTGCAAACAGAGCTAATGCAATTGCTTGTCTTCTCTCTACAGCTTTTCAGGCGAAAGCCTTCGCCACCTCCACTGTTTAAGACGCTTCCTTATGTAATCTTATCCAATGGCCCTTCTCTAAAATGCTCAGGTATCCATAAAGCTCGTAGCTTTTTCTTTCGTGTGACCTTTTGAGCTTTGAACCTTCTGATATTTCTCTGAAAAATACCACCATCTTCTCCACCCGGAATCAGTCTCAGTTTCATTTCGATTCCAGAAGCCTAAAGGTAATGACTCTTTCCATAACCTTTTAAACAATTAATCATACAGCCTCTTTCACATGTAATCTTATGCCTCTGTATTTTTTTTTCTTCTTCCGACAACCTTGACTCAGGAACATGAAACCGTTTCAGATTTCCAAGATGAGCTCCACCTGGAACCAGAATCAACACTCCACGACTTCTGATTCTTCACGACTTCTGAGCTCAGCTTCCTCCCTTTTCTTTTCCATTCTTTAGGTAATTCCCTTTACCTATATATGCTTTTACACTTCTCATCATTAGTATCCCGAGTAATGAAATCTTGAAGTGAAAAATACCATACTCCCTTTCGTAGAATCATATTTGCCTCACGCTTGAAGCTACATAGTTTCTACGTTAAACCAATCAATCAAACAGCCTCCTTCATGACCATATGAATCTGTTATGATTGAACTCTTTTTCCCTTTGCATCTTGATTTCCTTCCTTCAGTTGCAGCAAGGACTGATTTAGCTCTTTCTTTAGTCTCTATGGCTTAATCAAATGCTACTGAATCATACACGTTTCTATCTTGAAACAGTTCTTGATTCAACATGCCCTTCTGTTTAACTCCACAGCCTCAGACCCTTCTTTGTACCACCGTTAACCTTAACAGAACACACCATCAAGCTTCCAAATATGCTAGATAGATTTTCGACACAAACCATGATCCATTCTTCTTGTTAAACAGAACCTTACTAACAGTATTAAACCTTGCTGCTAGATTCCTTTCTCTTGAGTTTCCAGCACCCTGAATCCATCTTGTACCGCCATCATCCATGATGGAACACGCCTCTTACCCAGTCTTGTTGGGAAGACTTTCGACACAAATTTTCATTCAGCACTCCTTGTTCAACCAGACCCTTCTGTATCAGAGATGTCTTGAACTCCTCTGTATAGCGCTGTTATCACTAAACAGAACCCGCCATCAAGCCATTATCCTTGCTAGATGGACTTTCGATACACAACCTTAGTCCAAGCATCTCTTTTTACAGAACCTTACACAACCCTTTGTGTTCTTCTTTAGCTCTTGAAACTCTGATCCTTATCCCTGACATTTAAACCCTCCTTGAAGACTTTCTCAGACCTGATCGTATGAACTTCTCATAAGTTCTCTACCAGCTTTGCCTTAAGCAGACTTCATGTTTCTCCATACTCTTCTGCTATTACCATTCCCTTGAATCTCATATTTTTAACATACCATCAAAACAATTTTCTCAACATATATTCCTTTTCTAAGGCGTCCCCTAGTCATGGATTTGTAAGACCAATTGTTTTATCAACCCATCCTTGAACACCAAACTGAATAGACTATCAACAACTAGAACAAGCCAAGATACAACCTGATTTCACAGCAAAAAATCTTGACTTTTCTATTGTTAAAACTGGTCTAATTCCATCCATGTGTTCTCCCAAAATCTAGACTCCATAACCTTAGCAGCCTTGAGTATCCAGAAACTTAACATCACAATTACCTCGTGACTGCAGCGGAAACTTGTCGTTAAAGCTTCAACATGTACTTCTTTAAGCCATGCTTCCCTTTGATCTTTCAACCTTAACCCTTCCATGTGTTGATTCCACCATCTCGAAGAAACAATAAGTCCCTTTATCTTTCTTCTATGCAATTCAGACTTCGTGATCTCACTAACCCCTCGCAATCAAAACCTGGATTGCTCTGATACCACTTGTTAGGAATTATCGATCGTTTGATTGCTTAACTAAATAACACATAGAATTTGATCACCGAGTTCCCGGCCTCTAGCACGGTACGTCTCGGGTGGGAACCGTCTCCCACAACATCCACTATCAATCAAAGGGGTTTACACAAACGCTTTAAGCGCTCTACACAACAGAGAATTAGAAAGATCAAAGAAACTCTCTCCCGNGTCTAGGGTTTTTTTCTCTGATCTCTCGGATGATTCTTTAAAACTTCAACGTCTTCTTTTATGCCACAAATCTTAGCCGACTCTTGTCTTCATATTTCCTTTTCCCATAATGAGAAACCAAAGCCGACATATGTATGTTGGAGAAAACAAGCCCAACATAAGTCCATGAAGAAGTAGATAAATGAAGCCCATACTTACAGTCTCGTTTATTATTTAAGTTGTTGCCAATTTTTATTTTGGGTCAGCAGAAAACTAAAAATAATGTTAGTGTTGAGAATGTTTTGTTCTCTCAATCTGCTAGTATTGTTTATCGATTACTTGCAACGTTTCTAAAATTTCCCGATCAACAAAATTTAGTAAATCTGTTTTGGCATCAATCTTCTGACGAGTACTTTTAAAAAAAATTGTCGGCGAAGAACACATATTATAAGTCGTTGCTTTTTATCTCTATGACTCTATGCAATTGATTTGACAGAAGGGCACAAAATAAAGAGAGCAAATTCTATGGGATTATTGGTCAAAGACAGAATATTGCTGCCTCAAATGAAGGCGCACAGTAAGTTATGTTTTGGTAGTTGTTGATTTGCTTTTTTGTTGTTATGGAAACGTGTCACTAGCAGAATATAGATCTAGAAGCCTTATCATGTTAACGTTTTTGTATAGGAATTTCAAAGAACAAAGACTTTAGTTACAAGCGTTTTGAGAAGTATAAAGTCAACGATATTTCGAAAAGAGAAAAAAAAAAAGAGGATGAAACTACGAGCCGAAACAAAAAGCAGAGCTATGTATATCAAATATGAGACACAATCAGATCTTAAATTTGAGAGATTATAAATATATTTTTAAATACTAAATAATCTTTTTTCATAATTGAACTCCACATTTCTGTATGAAATTTCTGGATTTTAAAACCTAAAACCAATGTTTTACTAAACTTTGTTCAGATCATGAATTTTTTTTTGAATTTTAGACTATGCTTCTCAGCAGAAGATTCAGAGCACCATTATAGGTGAAATTCTTTAATTCGGTATCTATCTCGAAAATTATTTGTAATAAAATGTTAAAAAAAAAAGATGTGTCAATCAGAATATGACATGTGGTTTTATTGATGAGATTCTTTAATTTAATATCTATATAGAAAATTATTTATGTAATAAAATGTTTTTTGGTTTTTAAAAGATGTGTCAATACATGTGGTTTTATAGGGTTTTAAATTTGAATGAAAGTATTTTGCTGTGACGTTCTTAATTTCCTTTTTCCTACTTTAACTTTTTTCAGAATCTCTCACAAGAACTTACCTAGAGTTCTATACATAATCCACCCTTTTAAACATAGCACGAGCAATGTCAGAAAGTTTATAAAAAAATCAAAAAGTTATAAACACACAAGAGATACTTTCGATGGTTAAACTTTCTTGAACATTTATATATGTATGTGTGTATGTGTGTGATTTATAGGTTCTTATGAGTTATGACAACGAGATGCATATAAAAAGTCCGGACTTCTATTACGCTAAACATTAAGCTGTTTGACTACGATTCATGTTTATTTTGCTCTAGCGAGAAGAGAAGTAAAACATAGAAGATATAAGTTCCAAAGTGCTACCAAAATGAAGATAAACACGAGCTGAACTTGGTCAGCCCATCAAATATTTTGGGCGTTTTGGCCCAAATCTATAATATTTTTTTATAAATTTTTAGAAAGAATTTTAACTCTTAAAGGAAAACTGGAATAATGTTTGTTGGAATTTGCTCCATTCCGCGAACCAACAAAATTTCCTGTCATGTGTTCTTTGTTTTTTTTCATTTAGCTTACGTAACGTTATAGCTAATTTTCTTACCAATACTTCAAAGTTATGGTCGGCCATTGCCGCCACACTTTTGAGTAACTTAAACAGCACTAAATTGTTAAGACTTTTTGTTAAATAACTAAATAAATCCTAGGCTTATTAAAAATTTGGAGGTAGCTAGCGGGTAGACAACAGCGAACTCCATATAATATGTATAGAGGAAAGATATAGAGGTCAAAACGACAAGAGACTCACAAAGGACCACGCTAAACATTTAGCCTATAATAAAATAATAAGTAAATGTCAAAGAAAGCTAAAAAGACCCCAAAGTCAGGCGACGGCGAGTGGGGTCTCCACAAGAGCCAAAAGGGAAATTATGTTAATTCAGAAACACATAACACATGCAGCGGTCGTCACAGAGACAATATTCAAATTCAATTGAACAACCGGTCTCTGAGGCCTGAGAGTATATTCATATGATATTATATAAACTACAATTAGGGCCTCTTATACCTACATGAATTTAGTATCTGGTCGAGTCTCATCTATTTTCTTTGCTAATTCAAAAGAGAAATCACACTCCAGCTCTCTCATATTATTATCTCACGTTTCTAAACGGGTGTTCAATAGCAAATGTTTCATCTAAACATATAAGATAATTTTAGTTTAAACAAAAAAAAATACATGAACCGAAAGCCAGTTCTCAAAAAAAAAAAAAAAATACATGAACTTTGTTTAGTTTTCATACGACTAACATAATTATGGTTTTTTAACAAACATATTTAGTGGTTCCATGACGCAATGCTTTATATTCGTGTAATACGATTTCGCTTACAAATCATATATAAAAACAATAAAAACAAGGATAAAATTTCCAAACGAACTTTTGAATGTTCCGTAAATTCCATATACATTATTTTAAAAATAGCAATTGTTTCAGTAAACTATATTTTTATTATAAGTAACATTTATTTATTTTTGATCAAAAAAACATTTTCACTGTAAAAGTACGACAGGAAACTATTTACAAACTCAAACTGATAAGATAATACAATTATTGTTCGCAAGTGTTAATGGCAGTCGTCCAAGTTCACACGCTTGCTCTGTTTTTATTTAGCTACAAGTCTCTATCTCTTTTGTCTGTTTCTCTCTTTCTCCAGTCTTTTGTCGTTGTTAGGGAGGCGCGTGAGTCAAACAGAACGCAAAGCACAGTAAAGACAGAGCTACTTACACAAGTCAGTCCGTACTTCATGACACGCCATAGAACACAAGATTCAAAGAACCCCTCGAAACCGACATAAGCGACGGTCGTAACAATCCACAACATCAAAACTTACTTTCTTTGGATCTATTTTTTCTAATATTTTGAAATAGTTGTAACAATATATATTAGCCTGCTTAATTAGTGTTAATTATTTCTTGTTGCCGCAACATGGATTATAACAATCAGTCTCCGTCTCTTACATAACCAAAAGAAAAAAAGACATATTGAAAAAGAAAAACTACTCAAACTACTACCCTAAAAAAGGATATTTAGCTTAAAAAGAAACTAAAAGTTAAAACAATAATAGTTCCACCGAAAGTGTTCATCAGACGGCGCCGTTTTCAAAGTGTGTTTCACAGCCAAAGCGGCGGCGGCTCGTTGAGATCAATCGCTAAGCCACGTCTCACCGTTGCGGAAGAAGAAGAGCTCATCATTGGAAAGTCAACCACTCGAGGCGAAGACGTGACAGCTGCAGGTGAGTTAGCGAAGTAAAGCGGTGCTTCTGAAGTGGAGAAGCCGGAGGTTTTGTCGTTGAGCACTCTTGTTCGGAGAAAGACTCTATGGTGTCGGTGGTGATTGTCGGAAACCTGAGGAGGAAGAGGAGGAGCCGGGAGCCAGAACGGTTGGTGTTGGTTGTGGTGGTTATCTACGGCGGGAACGGAGGCGGAGGGGTTGTGGTTGAGGTCGAGAGAGAGAGAGAGAGGAGAAGGGAAGTTAGTCTTAGCTTTGATGCCACGGAGGAAACGGGCGGCGCCGTCGTAAGCGAGAGCAGCTTCTTCGGGAGTGTCGAAAGTGCCTAACCAAACCCTAGTTTTCTTCCAAGGATCTCTAATCTCCGCTGCGTAGCGACCCCATGGTCTCTTCCTTACTCCTCTGTAATGAACCTCTCTTGCGCAAGTTGTCGACGCCATTGTTCTAGAGAGAGAGAGAAAATAGACAAATGAGAGTTTTGCTTTGTCGAGTTGTGTTAGTGAGAGAGAGTTTAAAGAATAAAAAGAGGTGCTCGTGGACCTAAAACTTGAGACACCCGTAATCCTCGGCTTCTTTTGACGATTATAACTTTTAACCATTTTGTAATAAGCAAACTATATACATTTGTTATTCGAAGAAATGAATATGTGATGTCTAGGATCGAGGTTTATCGGGTGTTTTGAAGAATCAAGCACCGTTCGATCTTTTGCTAGTTTGGTGATGTGACTGTTGTATGCTGAAAGGTAACACGTGGGTAAGGGCATGCCCATGGAGGGCTTTTGAGGGGTTCACAGGTCCAATATCCAAGAAAAAAACAAATAAAATACAATAAATTCTATGAACCCACCCCTTGAGAGTTCACTGCAACGAACCGGGTTCATGTCAGTTTCGTGGGCCCCACGACACGTGGCGGCCCGCGATTGGTTGGATTGTTAATTTTTTTTTTTTTTTTAAATAAAACGAAAAAAAGAAAAAAACAATTAAAAAATAGCTATGAACCCCCCCTTACCTAGTTCACTAATGTGGATGGCCTAAGGGTGGACGGTTTTTGGAGATATTCGTATCCAGTCTGTTTCATATGAATAATCATCAATTATCAGATCCATGCTGTGTTTATTTAGATATTAAATGTTTTGGATATCTGAAATTTTTTAAAAATATAAATAAAAATAAATAAAATTAAAAATCCAAACTGTAAAACAAGAATATTTTATTACAATAATATTTTTTGCAAATCTTAATAACTAGTATAGTAATATAAAAAAATAAAGATATAATAAAACATATATAAAATAATATATTCAGATAACTTATATATATAATTTTAAAATATATGGATATATACATATAATAGTTCAAAAAAATGTTCGACTAACTATTATTTTTAAAAAATATTAGTATTATGATTTATATCATTTTTTAGAAATATTGTATATTAGTATATGTTTGGATTCGTAAAACTATAGATATTCCAATTTGAATAAAGTCAAACTAAATTGTTAGTAAATATGTTTTTTCGCCTATTTTTAACCTACCACATTCAAAATTTGACACATGAACTTGTCCAAATCGAAAAATGGCCTTACCAGTTAGCCATGTTAGAATGATCTTGCTTGCCTTTATTGATAGTTTAAGTAAAATTCTAAGCAAATGAAATCTGATTTCATGGTTCATTTGAAAGGGTAAATTATCAGGAAAAAAACACATATTTTGATGGGAGATTGTTTGATTACCTCATTATGGCGCATTATACAACATACAGTACCAAAACAGTACATCATTCTAAAGTTTTCTTACATCATATAAATTTATGTAAACTAAATGTTTATCAAACAGATTTTTATAAGTATTGTTTTAATCTTTTGATATTAACAATAATGATAAGTTCAAAAAAAAAACAATAATGATAATAATGTGGTTTGTAAAAGAATTGTTTTTCTGTAAAATAGTTGAATGAAGTGTTTTTGGATAAAGAAAGTACTGTGCCGCCTCTTTGACTGGATATGTGCATATGTATAGCTGACGTAATCCCTACTGCTTTAGCCCTCTCTCTGTTTGGACTTCTTTTAGTATGATCTTTAGAGCAGCATCACTGGTTCGGTTTAGAGATTTCTTTTAATTTTTCAAACATAAAATTCAATGTTAATAAAATAAAAAAATGATCCACAATTGACATGTGTATTACTTAATTGGCGTAGCAACTATAATGAGACAAGAGAGCAAAATCTTGAAAATTATTAGAAGCTCCCCATTACAAATGTTCTGATATTTAAAAAGAAAATAATACTAGTAGAGCTACTGATACTTTTATTGGCACCCAAATTCATAACATAATGTGATTATGATGCACGAGGACGAGGCTTCAAGGAGATCATTAAATAAAGTTGCTTGTCACAACTACTCTCTGTATAGTATCTCTCACTGACTTTGTTTTTATTTTTGTCCAAAATAATTATCCATTTGATATAATGTTACTGATGGAGTGATGACATGGAGTGATGACCAAAGAGATAAATAAACATACTGATGATCTTTTCCGTTCGTAAGAATTAAAATAACCTACGTATATAATAATTTTTTCAAGTAAAAAACATTTATATTATCCTTAATAAAATTGTGATTGGCCGTAACATTTTACTTTATTCCAAAAAACTCTCTGGACTAGATTAACTGTCTTGATTCTTGAAGTTTGATTTATTTCTGAACAAAAATATATATACTCTTTGTATTATATTATAAGATGTTTGCATAAATCAGAAAAATTAAGAAATTTATTTGAAAGAAAATACAAATTAAAATTTGATTCAACAAATCATAAAAAGAATGTAAAATGATTAGTTGAACAGTTTTTAATAACATTAATATTTACATACAAAACTCAACACATTTTTAGTTTGAAACATTAAAAACACATATATTATACTTATATTGCAAAAGACAAGTGATATTTTGTAATTTCAAATTTTTGAAGAGACGTTTTTTGTGTTTTCTAAAATAAAGGAAAGAGAAATGAGATGAGAGAATAGGAGGGCGTGAAAACCCCGCGCCAACTGGTGTTTCATTTCACGTGACAAGACTTAGCCTCTGTCCTACACGTGCGGACTCTCTGATGTCCGACTTTTTGGACAAACTTGTTTACTTTATTAAATTACCCCTTTAAGTACATAAAAATATAGTCACAGAGCTGAAAAAAATGATGATTTTCGAGAAATATTTTAGAAATTTTGTTTTCGCTTTCGTGTTCACGTGACACTGTGAGCTTTATGACGTGTCTATTTTGTTGCAGATCTCTGAGAGAGAGCTCTGATGCTGACTAGTCTTCCTCTCATTCCATGAACCCTTATCTGACTTAAATAAGTGTATTCTAGTGCGGTTTTGAATCGGCTATAAAATAAACCAATGTAACTATGTGGTTTAATTTTTACAGAGCTGTTGCCCAAAAAAAAAAAGCATGACGCCCATATTGTAACTATGACAATCTAGTACCAGAAGCTGGCTCTGCCTTATACGTAATTGACAACATGGTATGGTTACCAACACTGTTTCTTGCCTTCTCCTTAATCTTATAACTCTTTGGATTCATCAAAAGATTAAATGACAAGGAGATTCATGGGTGGGAATAGGGGTGGGCACTTTATCCGATACCCGAACTCGTACCCGAACCCGACCCGAAATATCCGAACCGAATTCCGAACCGAAGTACCAAAATACCCGAACGGGTATTGAGTTAAGAGAGTTTGGATATCCGAACCCGAACGGGTAATACCCGAACCCGAACGGGTATCCGAAGATAACCGAACATATGTATATATACCTATTTATTCCTAGTTTATTTTGTCTCATTTTATTAAAACTATTTATATTAATGTTATAAATAGTTTAATATCAGATAATATACATATAATTGTAAAAAAAATGATTTGTTACTGATTTAAAATACATATTAAGCTTCTTATTTCATACTTTAAACAAAATTTGTATCCAAAATTCGAAAATAACAACCAAAATAATGATTTTTATTTTTAATAATTTATTTTCAAACTTATTAATTGTCTAACTTATTGAACATTTTAAAAACAGTTAAGTTAATAGTTAAATTTTAAATACATAAAACTTAAGTAATAAAGAATTTGAAATTTTTCTTCCAAAATCTAAATATCCGAACCCGACCCGAAATAACCGAATCCGAACTAAAAATATCCGAACCCGACCCGATATGTAAAAATACCCGAATGGGTTCTAAACCCTAATACCGAAATACCCGAAAACCCGAAATACCCGACCCGAACCCGAACGGGTACCCGAACGCCCACCCCTAGGTGGGAAGCCATAGGTATATGTATATGTAGATGACTAAGATGAGTCGTTCGGTGGTTCTTTGGCAGGATTGCTGCTTTGTAGAGCCCTGATGAAGAAAGGAGAGAATTGAAGCAAAATGATATTGTTAGGATGAAGATTTTTTATTTTTTTTTATTTTCCTGTAACACTGTTAGGATGAAGAAAATGATTGAGATGATGCTGATAAAAGGTTATACTACTATACTGTACATAGACGAGGACATTTATAATTTTTCATTTTAAATTGTTACAAAGCTTTTTTGGTGAAAAAAATCACTGGCTATATATGATGAAAGTTTTATTAGTATAAAAAAACTCTAGTCCTTTTTCACTTATCATTATAACTAAAAGGACTAGAGGCGCATTTCTTTTGAAAAACAAAAGGAAACTTAAACAGAATTGCAAGTAACCCAAATCCTTCAAAAAAGTAGAAACGATGAACACAAGTTTGCTTTTTCTCTGCGTTTGCAGCTTCACCTGGTGACTCTAAAAGCCTAAATAAACAGGGAAAAAACGATAACCAAAAGAGTCAAAGAGGAGTCATGTCAATATACAAGAAGTGGTTAAAATCAAACCGTAAACACAAGGAAGGGGGAAACATTTTATTACCTTGACCTGTTCCAGTAGATTTTTGGCGCGCTCGTTGGTTTTGAAATGATCACGAACAGGCTGAGAGATATACAGGCAGTGTGATAAGAAGCATATCATTCATATGCATAAAGCAGATGACTCAAAACATCAAAAGAAAGATTGAAAGTTGCTTGCTTATGTACTTACTTGCAGCATTATATTCAATGCTTTCACCAAGGCTTTCTTCACATCTTCAGGATTCAACTCGCCGTTCTCGTAGTCAGCAGCAATATCTTCAAAGCTTTTGAAGGTCCTGTAAGTTGGAAAAATTTAAAAAAATCAGTCCGAGAGGTGATTATACAAATCTTATATGTGATGAAGAGACCCAAAAGTTGCAACCAAGAGTTTCTAGATTAGGTTCCAGCTACTCACTTATTACCGCCATCAGTTTCAACCTTGAACTCATTGAATCGTGGTAGAACCAAGTATTTGACGTATTCAAGACATGGATTGCCTTCCACGATTTTTGGTG